CCATACAACAGCGAAGAGACTATAAAGAAGGAGATGAAATGCAAAGCAGTTGGGCCACTGAAAAGAGTACCAGCGGAAGGGTTCAAGAGCTGGTGGACTGAGGAGAAGAAGGAACCAGAGGAGAAGACGGAACCTGAGGAGTTGGCATGGTCGAACAGAATGTGAGGGGGTCGTGGCTTGAGACAACATGAGGAGGAGAAAAAGGAAAACGGGAATTAGTGAGTTTATACATAAACACACTTATTCACAAACAAACTTGAATTGACTTTGACGTAAAGACAAAAAGATTTATTAGCCATGAATTAATAGATTGGGAAATTAAAATAGCAATAAAGAGGAAATAATCCTAAAACACACTGAGGGTACTATGAGAAAAAGGGGCAGACATGATGGAAATATTCACTACACTTTAAACAGTGAGTGTTTTGGGACTTAGGAGTACAGAGTAGAACATATTCTTCAATCTTTTCATCATGTAAACGAATTATTCCCTAAGAGATACTTATTCATGGGTGAATTTGGTAGAGATCTAATGTGTTACAATATTGATCTCCAGTTAAAGGGATAGTTTTAGTGACCACTCTATAAGAACAGACACATCTGTGTTTGTTGGAAAATGTTAAAGGGGACTTAGTACCAAGCCAAATATAGTATCCCAATCTAAAGTATTGTTTTCGCCATTGTAGCATAGTTATTACCATAGGAGAACTGTTTGTCTCCAAGATGGAGAGTTGGAAAAGACACTGGGCAAAGAGCGATTGAACATTTAATTTTGGAAAAAGCAATATCATTGGGAGTAATACATGCGGGACCTTGGATCACTCATTGCAATGGTGCATATTATTGACAACCCATATCGTTTAGGGAGAAGGGGTCACTCAACCCACCCAGCAGTTGTTTTAAATCTTACTTGCAGCTACACAGGGAGCGCACGGCACCAAATTATGAGTTTAAAAGACAAGCGTCACCACCTCCTAATGGTCATCCATTTAATCAGGGATGACCTGAAATTTAGAGATGTTATTTAAAGTAGAAACATATCCGCCATAAGTGAAAATTCCTAAATTGAACTACAAACCATGGATGAAATACTTCTGTTTTTAAAAAAAATCCTTGATAAAGGAGGGAATAACTGTTACATGCTCGGACGCCCAAGGTTCCACACACTGTTAAAGGGGTTAGCATAGTTCTTTAAGCAGACCAGAATTGAAGAGAAATTGGTATAATGAGTTATTGATATTCCACCGGTTTTCACACCATTTAAGGAACTTTATCACTGCATTAGAACGGACCACCCAAAGGTACTGAAGTAGGAACCATAAGTGATGAAATTCTCCAATTGTTGTAACTGACCAAAATCTTCTCCCAGAAATGACTGTCTGAAATGCCGTATCCCAGAGTAGATGTTTGATGGTATCATGGAACTAAACCCTTGTATGCAGTCTTGCTACAGGATTAGACTGGGACCTGTGCACTTGTACAGCCAGTGATGTTTTATATGCAGTACCAATGACAGTGGGGCAGTTAATCAACATGGCGAAACGCCCCAAAACCAGTAGGGCTAAGAGACCAGTCAAAGGAGGGAGTTTAGGCTCGACAGTGTACAAGGATAGCATAGGGGTGCCCAGGGGAGTGCTAGATGTTGGAGTTGCATTCCATGTACCCGCACCCTAACGTACCGATTGATCACCACGGCCTTTTCTAGAGAACATATTACTTTCATACTTTAAAAAGTATGAAAGGGGGGAGGGTAAATTTCTCATAAGGGAACAGTTTCAATTGCTAGCAGAACAAGACGACTCAACCCATATACAGATATTGATGAAAATGAAGACAGTGTGTAAATGATGTTAAATGATATGGATGATAAATGATGAGATTGTTCAAAGAATGTCCAAATCATGTGATATTTCAAATGATGAAATATATTTCAAATGATGAAATCATTAGAATGAAGAACCAGCTACAAAGTGGTATTACTTTGCACTATTCAAAAAAGGTTTCTAACTTTTATGTTTTATACTGTTATTAGTGATGTGATTTTTAAATAGTATGTTTTTATACTTTGTAAAACAAGTGCCTTAACACTGAATGTGGTATGGGAACGGTTTCTGTGAAAGGAGGGAGTAAGAAATGTTCTAATACCACAAGTTGCTGCTATTTTAAAAAGTGATATTGAATGTTAAAACTAAAAGTTATGCACAAGGGAAAACTTTTACACCAGAAGACCAACCAATGTATTGTTTGTATTTTTGATGACGGTTATTTGAACCATTCCATTTTGATAGTATGTTTTTGATATGAGTTATGTACTATGCAAAGTTCAGATGAAGAACTCATTGATTTCAGTATTGTGTTCACACCTTAAAAGGTGTGAAAGGAGGGATTGTTAGAAATTAAAATTCAATGTTTTATGGCATGATTTAGTCTAAAACATACCGTCAGTTCAAAAGCAGTCAGATGAAGAACTTATTACTTTTAGTATTGTGTTCACACCTTAAATGGTGTGAAAGGAGGGATTGTTAGAAATTAAAATCAATGTTAAACAGCATAATTCAGTCTAAAACATATTGTCAGTTTAAAGCTGTTTTATTGTGGAAAAGCCCGGAAGTTCTCAGGAAATCAATGCCAAGCTTTTATTCTGAAAAATCCTTTATCCGGTTAGCTTGTGACTAATGTTGCGTTTTCTGAATGTAAAGTGAAAATGACTTGGAGTGTTACACACAAACGTACGGACTTTAACACTACTATCTACTATCGATAGACGTTAAGATATTATTACTGCTGAATATTAAATGAAGGTCTAGTCGATCGTAGTGTTTACAGATACGTGAGAAGCTATGACGTCAGAGGGAATTTCCGTAAAATAAGAACTGTGCCGGAGCGGAACCACTAGGACTTCTAAACTAAGTATTACAGCTGTTTATAAGGTATTAAATAGAAAGTCATGACAGAGATAATGAGGAGAAAATGCTTAAGGAAGTAGGCAGAGAATATCAATGTCGAAATCATCTGTGCTCTCGCGATATCGAACCGGCAAATGAGTAGGGGGCCACCCACTATTTGCACAGCGGGGGACAACGAGACGTGGATAAAAAGGCAGGACGAAAGATAACGCGCTCTCTTCCCTTCGCTGCAGCCTCCCTCAAGACAACACCGGCTTTGTCTCTCCATTCACCATGCTTGTTCTTTAACCACGTTACTTAATTAAACTACCCATTTGAACCTTTTCAGAGACTCCATTAGTCTCGTTATTTTAAGTTTCTTTCCTGGGAGCGAGAAGATCACAAATTATCAACAAGAGCATCTTCAGTATTGTAAACACATCAGGTGTCCTCCTAATGACATGCAGCAGATATACAGAACTTCAGTTTACATTAAAGGCTAAGCCTACAGGATAGAGAGTAGTTTACTAATGCTGATTTAGTGAGTACATGACTTCAAAGCAAACACAGTACACAGTATTTGTGTTTAATCAGGTGTTCACAGCGTTTAAAGAAAGATATTGTAAAACAGAAGAATGAACGTTTTCTAAACTAAAACCAAAAAGCACTCGTTTTGAGGTGATGTGAGAGTGAGTGAAGCAATGTGTGAGTATGAGTTTAGTAACTTGTGTTCTTTATTGTAAATGTATTGTAACATTATAAACCTGTTGTGTTCATGTTCCAGTAGGGGAATAGAGTCACCCCTTTCTTTGTTCACTGTTTCCATAATCCTGTTCAATGTAATCCATCACTCCCTAAGCTTGATCGGAGAGGACGACCTTCTCCCTCTTCAGAACGTTTACATACACGGTGAACATGTGGCAACACAAGTGGTCAGTATTCAAACAGTTCAAACAGTTAATCATCTCAGGATCAACTCAGACTACGGACAACACGATCACAACTGGTGGCTTTGCAATACGTAACACCTCTGTCTTTGAAGTAGGCTTCATTTGTGAAGGTCGGATAAACCAAGATGTGTACTTTAACTATATTTTGATGATAATACTTTTCTACTTTTACTCAAGTAAAATATCTGAGTACTTCTACTTTTACTAAAGTACTAGATCTGAGTACTTCTCCACCTCTGGTTAATGTCCAATGGCTGTTGATATAGAGCATATTCATAGAGTGTATTCCTAAAGCCTACAGTTGATGTTAGATAATGAGTAATAGAAGACGCCCCCACCCGATAAGAAAAATATAATCTTACTGATATTTTCTTATGATAAAATAATACTTATATACTTGAAGACACGATGATGTCAGTTTTTTGATACATGTTTCAGCCATAGGGCAGGAACATTTGATAAGTGATCAAAAATTTGCAAATGGGCCCATCTGTGTAGCCAATGGGGTTGTGTTGACAGAACTGTAAAAAACTAGGGCACCCTGAATACATCATGGCCAGAGAAGCAGACTGCTGTAAGATCTCATTCATTAGTAACATAAAGCAACTATGATCAATATTAAATCGAGCTGCCCCCACATGGACACAAACTGTTACTGCAGGTTCAAAGATATTGATTAGTTGAATTGTACAGAAATGTGTTCATGTGACGCTGTATTCATAAAGAAACAAACAATCAGTGAAATATTGATTTTGACTTTCTTTTATTTTAAATGACAACATTAAACAAGAAGTTGATTTTGTGGGAAACAAGAATTACATGCATTACTTCAGATTGAGCTAACAGAGAATGAGATCAGCATGCTCACAAGAATAACAGACTTTTCATTTTAAAAATACAAACTCTGTATAATATTGTGCAATTTCTGTTGTATTGAGAAAAGGTTATAATTTAGCAGGTTCCACATTTAAATTAAAAAAGAGGTGAAAGATACATCTTTATTGTGTATTGTAACAAATGTTTGCAGGCAAGAGTGTTTAAACTAACATTTATAACTCAGACGCTACTATCTTAAAGAGCTTTTCTAATAAGAGTTGAATATTTAATGTAAACCAACCAATTATAAATGTATCATCAGCCAATTTAGAGTCAATCAGAATGTTTTAATACATGTTAATACATGTCTGTTAAACGGCAGTTTCTTTCAAAATGTAATCTATTGGAAATTTACGTTTGGTAATGCGTTCGATCCAGTCTTTGTATTTACAGACGTTCATAGCTGTTCCTGGTCCAGTACAAGCCTCATCAAAACCGCGAACAATCACTCCGTAAATCATGCAGTTGAACATCACTCCTCCACCAGAGTCCCCCTGAGAGAGAGATATGTACAAATTGTTAAACACAGACTTCTGCATCATTTACTGGAATACTTATTTATTATAAGCTGGTCAATCAGGTCAACTCACATCACTTATATCCACTTGATTTCTTTTGAAACAGAAGACCACTTCACGACCAGCGTATTCATTTGTGGCATATGAACAGCTTTCGGGGGGACAGATGACAACCTCGGTGTTTGCACATTGGAGAGTTTTTGACTCAGGGCCGCCCACTAGATGACAAAATCAAAAGGTGTTTTACTACATTTTCTACTGATCTTGTAAATTCAAATAAACTTTTGACTGGCAAATTCATGTTTTTCCTATGTACTGTATGTAAATATTTTTCAACAATGTTACCAACTTCCCTGCACACATAATAATAATAATTATTATAATAATAATAATAATAATAATAATAATAATAATAATAATAATAATAATAATAATAATAATAATAATAATAATAACAATACATTTTATTTGTAAACCACCTTTCATTGCTAAAAGTAATCACAAAGTGCTACAAGGGGCATAAAATACACACTTAAAAACAGAAGTTTAATAAAAGGCTTTTTTTTAAAGAAAGGATGTTAGGCCCTTCTTAAAGGAGCCAGTGGCCTGTAACAGCTGGAACAAACTACTCTCCCTAATCGGCTGCATCTCAACAATTACAATGAAAATCCCAACAGAAAGAAACCTATGTTCCATGACCCTGTGAACCTGGGCCAATTTTAAAAGCCAAGAATCAAACTTCAGTTGTTATAACATAACATTTTTGTATTTTTGTTTCTTATGTTGGTTGTAAATACTCAATGTTTTATAAATATGTTAAAATATGATAATGCAAAGTTTAATTTTTTTTTAACAAACTTATAACTTAAAAAATAATTCAGTGTGTGCAGTATTTATTGTAAAATAAACAAGATTCATCTCACCGTTGTTCCCATGTTTGTCTGCCGTTGTGGCTCCGTGACCAGCAATCTGAACTGTTTTACCTCTGAAATACAAGAAAAAGACGTAACATTCATAAAAAGATGTCAGGGGTTTATCTCAGTTTGAGTTCCTTAGGAGTTTCACTCTCTGACTTATTTAAGATCACAACTCACATTTGGGGAGGATTTTCACAGTCAGGAAGTGATACAATTTCAAATCCCATCTCAGCTTTAGGTAACTTCACCAGCGCGATGTCATGGGTCCCTATATCGTCTCTATATATTTCAGCATGGTTGATATTGATATTAACTGTTTTTACTTTGCCAAGTTGATGCACAGCTAGAATTGCCATCCTCGTGCTGCAAATAATAAAACATTGAAGGGTGACATCAGTTAATTACTGCAAATGCATTAAATTGTAATTCTACGGGTTATTAAACATGAGGACATGATATGATATTTTATGTTATTTAAATGTAAGTCTAAAATAATATTTATTGATTGAATGTATGTAAGTAATTAAAGTAAATCTTTCTCACCTACTCACACAATGAGCTGCAGTCAGAATCCAATCCTTATTGATCAGTGATCCACCACACACGAGTTCCCCGTTCTCATCAATCAGCTGCACATGGTACAGACGTTCAGTAGCAGCACATGTTTTACCTCTGATGATTCTCTTCTGCAGATCCACCACTCTGCCCACTGTCACACCTGAAAGAGAAAACCCACCACCAGGAGACTGAAAGTTAAACACAGTGGTTGTTGTAGAGAGGGTTGGGAGGGTCAGTTACGTGACAAAGAAATGTAATCAGTAACTTTATCTGAGTCTCAAAGTATAAAAGTAATGTAACCTGATTACATTCTGTTATTTTGGATTACCTCAATATCAAATGCAGTGCAAAATAATACAAGAGAAAATAAATATCAATAAGATGTTTTTTACTAAAGTGTATTATGTAAGAAAACAGAAGAATGTGTCCTTAGAAAAGAAGACACCAAGATATTTAGGATCATAAATGATTGATTCTATAGGAAAACCTGCCTTTCATTCAGCATACTCAGTAGCCTATACACCAACACTGAAACACACAGTTAAGCTCACACACACTATTTTATGAACATATAGGTTCACCTGCTGAATTAAAAACAGAACAAATGAAGCAAAGAAAGTGAAACCCATGAAGCAGATTCAGGAGGTAGAAGTATATATTCACACTGAAAGTATTAGCTACAGAACAGTTTACAGAGAACAGATAACATCTGATCCTTTATAACAAACACTAAATGAAATCTGATCTGGAATTCAGCTTCCAGGATCCTGATGGGTTTCAGAAGAAGAGACAACAACACACTGGCTTTCTAAACAGTTTGAAATTCAACTCAACTCTAAATACTTAACTCACCTAAGTGCTATCTCAGAGCATAAGAATGGTGAAAGTAGGCAGCAGAAGTCTGAGTAGAAGCTGATACTCACCGGCCAACAGCAAAAGGAGAAGACTTGTCATCATGCCTGCCATCTCTGCCAGCGTCTGCCCTCCTGGTGCCACAGTGGAGCTTTCTAAACCTCTTCACACTGTCCTGTTGGCCTTCCAGCCACCAATCACCTCAGGAAGGTTTATCCACACAACCCCATTGGCTGCACAGATGGGCCCATTTGCACATTTCTGATCACTTATCAAATGATCCTGCTCTATGGGTGGAAAATGGATCAAAAATACAAGAACTGACCTCATTGTGTCTTCAAGTTGATACGTATTATTTAAGCATAAAAATAAAATATTAGTAAGAGTTGGCCTTAAAGCTCCCATGTCATGCTTTTCCGGTTATTACCCGTCCCCTTGTGTGTTATGAAGGTTTTTATGCATGTAAACGGTGTGCAGAGTCAAAACCCTGAAAGTACACCCTGTAGCGAGTAAAACTCTAACACAGAAAATACCTCCCCAAAACGCCTCGTTGGAGATACGTCACTGCCCATTTGATTCTTCCGGGTACCGCCTGATGTCATGCGGTACCCGGAACGAAATGGACCAATCCCGAAGAGCTATGGCCACACCAGCAGCGGCGTGTTCCTCCTCCAGAGGTTCGATGAACCGGCATTTCACAGACGAAAGCTTCCAAAAACATTGCCCAGTTTGAGGCCGGATATGCACAGCTTGTTTGGACCGTTTGGAGCAGGGGAAGATCTGGGTATACAACCTGTAAGTTTGCATTGTTATTTGTGTATTTATCAAACAAGACTGTTTAAATGTGTAAACTGTGTTGGACTGCTAAGCCATTGACACAGTGCTAACTGTGCTAACTAAGTTGCTAGAGTTTCCATATATCAACTCTAATATCAGCAGATGGCCTTGCATACATGTATCTCATAGCAGGAGAATGTCTGCATTCACACACAAAATACCTATTGACAGTATACTGCGGGTGATTTGCCGGTCAGTCGCGAAACGTAATTACATTATAGCTGGCGTAGCGATCTAACACACGGAGCTTGAGCTAGTTTTGGTCAGAAAAACATTTTTGTGATGCTACGTTGCTAGCGTTTAAATATATCAACTACAATGTCAGCAGATGGCCTTACATGTTTGTCATGGCAGGAGAATGTCTGCAGTCACACACACGGAATACTCATACAGTATACTCCGGTTTACCGTACATTGTGACCGTACATATACTGCATGTAGCTAACGAGGCTAGCTGTATGCTAGCGCAAAACAATGTATTCATGCAAGTTACATTGTATGGTAGCAGAATACCCGTATACGATTGCAATTATAAACACGTTATTGCTAGCCTAATATGAACCACTAGCTTTTGTTCATAGTAGTGTTATTACACTGCATTATAGTTGCCTTTCCTCCAAGCTAACGTTCATATCGTGTTAGCTACCAAGGTAAACAAAGCTAGGTTAGCATATTAGCAGGCAAGCTGTTCATTACACAACTACTACTAACGAATCTAAAACAACTAAGTTTCTCTAATATTTTGTGATTTGCATTTGATTTCGTCCAGCCAGATCCTGGCGGACAATCCATGACGGGGAAGGGATTCTACTACTACTGAGGCGTCGTGCTAAAAGGCACCGCACCGCACCGGCTGTGCGCAGGCAAGAGGAGGAGGAATGGATGATATACCGTGTATATATGTATATTTATGTTCATTTTGAACATTTCTAAAAATAAAGTTTAATGGAAATACTTAGTAGGCCTATCCTTTCTTCCCTGAATTCATATATAGCAAACCATGATTTGATTTCTCATCAAACAGTAGTAGTTTATAACGGGTAAAAATAACTTACTCTTTGTTATGAGCGGCTCGTAGGCCACAACGGAAAGACAAGGAGACATACACGAGTTTACAAAACCACGGCACATTTATTGTGGTAAATGCAAAGATAGGTGGTTGAGAGGATCGCAGAGTTAGTCTTCCTGCAGCCGCTTTGGAGAGAGACTGGGGCCGTAGTGTCCGGAGGTGTCCGTGATCGTGCTGATTAGCTTCTTCAGCTCCACCCCATCGTAAGACAAAGGCCCTGGGGCCGTCACACTCTTCTATAACAACAGTTAAAAATATATATGTATATAAAATATACCGCTGTACCGACGCCATGATAAGACTGATGTTACGCTGAGAGCAGCCGGGAAAAGCACTGACATGGGCGCAGCCTCTCTGGTGGTTGACTAATCAGAACGAGTGGCCGAGCTGACCAATCGGAGCACACTAGGCTCACAGGGAGGGGGGGGCAAGAGCTCCAACGAGTCGTTTAGTGGAGAAAGTGAATACTGCTGAATACACATGCTTGACAGAGATGCTGTATGCGAAACCAATGTGAGTTTGGAAAATTGCACAGTATAAATCTATTTTAGTATACCTCAACAATGTAATTATGATCAGTGGAAATGGCCATGACATGGGCCCTTTAAGTTGACGTTTTGACTGGAAGGAACTCCATTTGAAGCAATGAAGTGAACAAGTTACTGTATATCTGTACAGTAGGTGACTGCATTCACTCTGCATGTGGCCCCTTTAAACCTCTCAGAGATCAGTTCCTTCCTTCAAACAAAGGGAATAATAACCATTTACTCTGGGCTTTTGGGTTGCTAAGATGGGTTTGTGTGTGTGTGTGTGTGTGTGTGTGTGTGTGTGTGTGTGTGTGTGTGTGCTGTAATGCGGGATTTATTTATTTTATTTTTATATCTTTAGTTAGTATCGAAGAAAAGGTGGTCCTCACATCGGTACATTTACAGGAATACATGTGTGGGTGCCTGTGTGTGTGTCTGTGTGTTGTGTGTGTATGTGTGTGTGTGTGTGTGTGTGTGTGTGTGTGTGTGTGTGTGTGTGTGTGTGTGTCTGTGTGTTGTGTGTGTGTGTGTGTGTGTGTGTGTGTGTGTGTGTGTGTGTGTGTGTGTGTGTGTGTGTGTGTGTGTGTGTGTGTGTGTGTGGCTGCTCTCAGCTCTGTAACACGTCGGTGTAGCTTAAGTCAAATCGAGGAGATAAAATTGTAAAATGAAATGTCTGAATTGTCCATTGAAATGAACCACGAGGTTTTAGTGATAGATTACACCGACATTTTGATATTTAAATTGACATTTGGATATATGACAATAGCAGCCGTAGTGTGCTCACGTTTGGTTTATCAATTTATGATGTTCACACCATACGATAACACCCCCACACCAGTAGGCAAATTCAGCGATGTGTGGAGTCCTCTGTTTCAACACCAAATACATATTGGACTGAGTATGCAAACGGGCATAATCTGATCAAAAACCTTGTGGTTCATTTCAATGGACAGTAAAACATGGAAATTATTTAACGACTGAAGAGAGGAAACTCAGCAGAGCCAAGATCACACAATTGACATTTTAATTAGAAATAAAAATACAATTACTGACCCAAAAAAATCCAGTCTTGTGAGAGTGAGGACCACCCTTTCTGCTGCTACACTTAAAGAGAACAAATACAACATTTCAGCACACAAACACTAACACACACACACACACACACACACACACACACACACACACACACACACACACACACACACACACACACACACACACACACACACACACACACACACACACACACACACACACACACACACACACATACACACACATACACACACCACACACACACAACACACACACACACACCACACACACACACACACACACACACACACACACACACACACACACACAAAACACCCTCATAGTACTATAAGCCCTACACCAAGCTATCACTTTTAAGATGACCTTCTTCCTGCAGTGCTATTTAACAATTTCTGATTTAAATCCAGTTATGTCCAGTTTCTTATAATAAAACTCTGAAAGTCGGTGAAATCATTTACATTCAAATGCCCAAACATTTTTTTTTTAATGTCTTATCACATATCGGATAAATTGTCGTCTCTGCTTAAAATAAAGAAATTGCAGAAATAGTGGGTTTTAAAAAAACACAATAAACAAGTGATACTCAACCTTAACTTTACTTCACTTCACGTGTACCTTTGCAACCCAAAAGCCCAGAGTAAATGGTTATTATTCCCTTTGTTTGAAGGAAGAAACTGATCTCTAAGTGAATGCAGTCACCTACTGTACAGATATACAGTAACATGTTCACTTCATTGCTTCAAATGGAATTCCTTCCAGTCAAAATGTCAACTTAAACTAATATTTTCTTATTCTTTAATAATACGTATCTACTTGAAGTCACAATGAGGTCAGTTCTTGTATTTTTGATAAATGTTTCAGTCATAGGGCAGGATCATTTGATAAGTGATCATTAATGTGCAAATGGGCCCATCTGTGCAGCCAATGGGGTTGTGTGGATAAACCTTCCTGAGGTGATTGGTGGCTGGAAGGCCAACAGGACAGTGTGAAGAGGTTTAGAAAGCTCCACTGTGGCACCAGGAGGGCAGACTCTGGCAGAGATGGCGGGCATGATGACAAGTCTTCTCCTTTTGCTGTTGGCCGGTTTACTTAAAAAGGTATATACAATTAAATTAAATGATTTGATGTAAATTTAAAATGTCAACATAAAATAAGTAACATGTCTTCATGTTAAATAACCTCAACAATTACAATCTGAAGCATTTGCAGAAATTAACTGATGTCATCCTTTAAACTTTATTTATTTGCAGGATGGTGAAAGCATATTTCGGTGTGCATCCAGGTGACCAGATAACACAAGTTGAGATCCAAGAAGAACCTGAAAGAAGGACAGACATTAATGGGAACCATGACATCGCTCTGCTGAAGCTACCTGAGCCTATGAAGGGTCTTGAAACTGTAACACATCCTGACTGTAACAAACGTACCGTACTGAGAGGTTTTTTTTTCAATATGTCCGAAAGTTAAACTCCTAAGGAACTCCAACTGAAAAGAAAACTGAAATCTTTTTATGAATCTTAAGTCTTTTTCTTGTATTTCAGAGATGATACAGTTCAGATTTCAGGACTTGGACCCACAACGGCAAACGCAGATGGTGGAAAAGGTGAGATGACTTGTTTATTTTATAATAAAACAGTTCACACTGAGTTCTTTTTTAAAGTTTTGAGTTTGGTAACTTTTTAGAACACTTTGTAGTATCATATTTTACCAAACACATTCATAAAACATAAAGTATTTATAACAAACATAAGAAAGAAAAATAGAAAGATAGGAAGATAAATGAATAAAAAGACAACAGGGAGAAACATTAAAGGAGAGAAGAGGATATATTGTTTTATCTTATCACTTCAAATTGTTCTGTTGTTGGGAACTGCGTGGCCATGCTGGTGTGAAGAGGAACCAGCTCTAAATGTACTGCAGGACAGGAAACAGGTTTTATTGAGGGGGTTATTTTGTCTTTCAGAGTTTTAGAGAGTTTTTCCAGGTTAGCATGATCTGTTAAAAGATTGAACCAATGGTCGATTGATCATTTTGTTCTGTCTTTCCTGTGTAGTGAAATAGTTACAGTTATTGCATTGAACAGCTGTTTTCACCAGGCTGTCAGGAGGCTGAACTCTCCCCCCTCCCTCCCACCTCTCCCCCATGCCCCCATTGGACCTGGACTTTCACACCCCACACACACATCCAGCACCAGACACTTTCTAAGCTGCATTTGACAGTATTTTGCACTAATGTAACATTTTTACTGCAATATATTCATCATTCTAGTGATTGTTATTTTGTACATATTGACTGCCCCTTAATGTGTGCATATATATATATATATATATATAAGTGGGTGTACAGGTGTGTATATATGTATAGTCCTCGGGATTGTGGGAAACAGTATTACGATCTCTCTGTCTGTACACAAAAACTGTAAGATTGACAATAAAGTTGACTTGTTGGAGATGTTGTGGGATGTTGAGAGTGGTGGTGTGTCCTCTGTGAAGGACCTGATATTGGATAAGTTGGATTTTTGAGTAACGTCACATGGGAAATGTGTTATTAGATATGGGGTGTGCCAGTTAATGTCTGTCAGATTAATGTATAGATTTCTGATTTCCATGGAAACAGTTTTGTCGACTTGTGACTTTTTTTTGGGTTGAAGGGAACAAAGTGTAATTAGTAAAGGAGGATACAGTTTGTGGACATTATGGATATCTATTGTCTTTTTCACTGTTGCCTGTTGGTGGAAACATTGTTGACAAATATTTACATACATAAGAAAAACATGAATCTGCCAGTACAATTTGTTTTAATCTTCAAGTTCATTCAATTATGTATTAAAAACAACACCTTTTATATTGTCATCTAGGAGTCAGACACTCTCCGATGTGCAAACACCACGGTTGTTAAGTGTGTATTCAAAAGCTGTCCGTCTGCCCAGCTGGTTGGTTTACATTAAAAGATTAACTATAATTAGTAACGTTCTTTATGTAATGGGAAGAAACTCAGCTAACTGATCTTTTTTTTTTTTAGCAAAAAAAACCACAAGGCTAACGCTGAGCCTCTGAATTAGCCCTGGGAGAAAAAATCTTAACGCCGTTAGCACAGAACTCTAGCTATACCAATCGATATACTTATTGGATCTGCACAAACAAGCTTAGCTAACATCCTGAGATTCCACAGATGAAATATAAGGATCATCACTGAGCGATCAGAACTCGTGACAGGGGAAGCAAATACAGACAACACACGACGTAGCAAAACACGGAGATATGCTCACCTTTAGCTGTTATTCTGATCAAAAGTCGTGTTCAATGGCATTAAAACGAGAAAAAACGTGGCTGAAGGTTAATCCATAGGTTACTCCAATGTGTCTGTCACTTTGAAAAAATTATTGATAATCCATAATTCAATTTTTATGCAAAATTCGGAGAATAAAAATTAGCTGCTAATGAATAGCCACCAGAGTGTGTCGCAGCTCCGGTTTTAGCTACGCGTCACTCTCACTCCTTATTTGGTAACCTGTGTGTGTATGTGGAACTTTCCCTCGATTCCATTGGCTCTAGCGGTTAAAATTAGATTGAGATGTCAATCATCCAAATCGACCAAGGGGGGCCAGAGATAGGTCAAATCCACCCAAATGACCCCAGAAGTGTTTTTCTTTTGCTAAATCTCTCTAAAAAGGTCAAATGTCACTTGTTTTGCATCAATCTTGATACAGGGTACTTATTATATGTTGTACTTTGAATTCCTAAAGCTTTTAGTCTACTAACCCATCATCCAAGGGTAGTTTTCACTATAAGTAAAATAGTGAAAACTAATTGTTGGACGGACACTATAATTGACTGTTTTTTACTATGTTCAATCTGAATTTTCTTTAAAATAAAAAACATCTATATTGATTCTGACTTTTCTACATCCAACTCACAGGTTTATCATTACTTTGAGAAAAAAGATTATTAATTTTCCCCTTTTAGAAGGGAAGATATGGTCATTTGTTCTGGGAATGGCATTTTCGAGCCTGAGACCTGAAAAACAGGCTCAGTGCTTAACAGGTTAAACTATTGTTATGAATGTTTTTTATTTTAAATATGGAACTCAATTGTAAAATGAAAGCTGCGAGCAGCGATGAGCGGTTCTTCAACGATCCACACTGGTCCGCTGTTGTCTGCACGTCGACGCGTCACGCAGATATTTCCAGGACTCAGCCGTTAGCAAACGTGGGTAGTTTCTGGCCGATCAGACAATGGGAGTTACAGCAGTAACATAAACATTGTGTTTGATAACGAGTGATCTGTAGCCATGGCACCGGCTTATGATGACACCCCATAATCGGATTAGATGTCTAGAGGGCTGCCTCATTACCAAACGTGTGAAGTTTTGGGCCTTTTGGAGCATTTCCACTGAAGTTTTGAGAAAAACTGGTTTAATGGCGAGCATTGTGTTTCCATGGCAACAGCATATTATGACAACCCATCATAGGCTTGGATGTCTTGAGGGCTGCATCATTATATAACATGAGACGTTTTGGGCCGTTTGGAGCATGTTCAATGGAGTTATGAGAGAACCGTGTTTCATGGCGAGAATTCAGTGTGTGTGTGTGTCCCATGTTGTGATGTGTGTTTCTGTGCTTTTGCCCGTCGTTTCCCCTACAGTATGTTTGTGTGTGTTTTGCTGTGATAACAATAGGGTCTTCGCCGACCTCTGGTCTCAGACCCTAAATATAACCCTTTTTTAAATTCAACAGAAAGTGCAGTGTCTGAGTTATGAATGATATATTATACTTTCTTGCTTTCAAACTGTAACGATTAAATATGAATGTTTATTTCCACTTGAAAAAGACAGATGATCAAATATATAAGTCTGTTTTTTTTCTAAATAATGCACTGTAATTTGTATGTATCCCACCAAAGGAAATTATTGTATAAAGTTATCTTTTAAAATAAAATAAAGATTCATAATCATTATTTCACTGATTCTTTGTGTTTTTATGATTTAAAAAAATACATGAACAGAATATAGAAAAATGTATTTCCACTCATCAATATCTTTAAACCTGCAATTACTCTTTTTGTCCATGTGGGGGCAGCTATAATACGGCAGGCTGCTTTTATTGTAAAAGATTAATATGAGTGTTTTACTTCCTTTCACTCACATCACAAAGTCCAAAAGAAACCAGCATATCTTGTGGCCTTTAGTTTGTGCATAAAAAAAAGAGTCACCGTGATTGTGCTGCTACTTCTTTGAAGGGAAGGAGTGATTTATCTGTTATTATTATCTGTTGTTATATAATGGTGAACAGGAGAAGTGAGTCGACTAAACTCTGAAAATCATAAAAGGTTGAAGATAAAAACCATATGCTCAGATTTTTGCTTTTGCATATATTTTATTTCTTAACCATACTGTTTAACATTAAATTAATAGAACAAGAAATACATATCCCATACAAAATATATATTAAAAGGATAATGCAGAAACTTGCATCATGCCACCTAGCTGAGTTTTGAACTGGGGTCTCTAGAAAGGAGCTTTTAAGAAAACCACAAAACAGCCATTAAGTCATTGAAAGATGGACTCTAACCGTAACCCTAACTTTTTGACTTTCATGGAGACACTCAACTCACATCACCCGAAAAATAAAACTCAAACATCAATTACAACCACTCTCTGTCGAATTTGTGGACACCTGTGTCTTCTTCCGCAACTCCACCGAGCCTATCAAAACCCTTGCAACCAAGGTATTTTTCAAAAACACAGACCGCCACGCACTCCTCCATAAATCAAGCTACCATCCGAGGCATACGTACAGAGGCTTGATAAAGTCCCAGCTGATACGCTTCCACAGGATTGGTGCCTTCCCGGAGCATAGAGGAGGCAACCAGCACCCTCTTCAGTGCACTGAGACCAAGGGGTTACTCAAGGCGCTTCCTTAGAAGCATCAAAGTGGAGGTCGGCCGAACTTTTAAAGACAAATACAACACCATCTCAACCCAGCCTTCCGGACCGACCCTCGTCCCCCTGATCACCACCTATTCTAAGGACCTGGGGAGCCTTTTAGGCGATCTCAGGTCCAACTTTGAGGGGGCGAGGGCAGACAGTGATGCGCTGCGGCAATGCCGGCTGATCTCCGCTTACCGCAGAAATAAAAACTTGAAGGACCTCCTAGTCCACACCAATTTCAACCAAAAAACACCAAACAGGGAGGCGCCTTGCGTCTCTGAGGTTGGTTTCCTCCGCCTCCCCCACATTTCTAACCCATTCAGTAGAGCTGGCGCAAACCTTGTACAGGCCCTGACACCTAACACCAAGAATGCAGAATATGCTGTCAGGTGCAGGGCCTGCCACAGACTCTATGTGGGGGAGACACGGAATGAGATCAGCCTCAGAATCAAACAACACATTTATCAAATGAATAGCAGTGACGGCACGAGCATTTTATATGCACATTTTAAACTCCACGGCCCAGATAAGGTACAATCCTTGGGCCTGGAGAGCAATAGGGACTGGAGGTCCAGAGACAGGCGGCGGAGAGGATTCATCAACTGAAAACAATCAACCCCACCGGTCTAAACGAGAGGTACCGGTGATGGATCCGCCTCCCCTTGTTTATAACCCGCTTCAACTGATTTTGATCTCCTACCCTTCCCATAGCCTCCCTTATCTCTCCCCTGGGGGGCTTTCGAATCCCCTCCCTGCAGGCCGAGTCAATGTGAAGGAATCAAGTTGGTTTTATTTTTAATATTTGTTCCATAAATGTTATCAAATATATTATTATACTATATTATTTTATTTATTGTAACTCTATTGTCTATTTTATGGAATTATTAATTATTTTAATTAATTATTTATTATATCCGAGCAGGAATGAAGGGACCTTCCTCACCCGGACCCTTTGTCCAGCATGGTTTGCCTTTTTGAATATGTTGTTTCCATTTATATTAATATATCTTGTAAATAGTTTTAATTGTAATTGTATTTATTCTAATTGTACCACTTGTTTGCATGGCTTGATTTTTAATAACTAAGGGTCCATACGAGGAGGCCATCCCTCCCTCTTCCTGCTTCTTTTCATTTACTTTTTACCAATATTTATTTCATGTCTTGCTTTTTTTATGATTGTATCCCTTTCTTATCCCTCCTTCACTGGATTCCTTAAAACCTGCAGAGAGAAATCACCTTAAATACTTGCGGCCTGTCCTATGTGGAATCTTTTCATTGATGAACCTGGGTCCTTCTGGTTTTAATCACACTTCATTTTATGACAATTCGTTCCTTATTATTGTGTGTTTATTTATTTATCTCTTTATTTTATTATCTTACTCATGTATTCAGCATGAATTTGTTTTGTTGTGTGAATTCTTTACAAAACACGTTTTTACCTTAAACACTGCTCTATTAATGTCATGTTTATCTGCATGCTTTTTCAAGATATTGTCTCATGAATGTTTTTACACCATTGCTAGGCCATTTGAAGGGTTCCCTAAGGACGGGTCCTCTCCAGCCACCTCCTTTAGGGGTCCCCGGAAGGTTAGGAGATCTCTAGGTCCCGCTGCTCTGTCTCCTCTGGGATCTGGTCTCCTCTTGCCTTTTTAATTGATTTTACTTATTTGTACTTTTAACAGGGCTTTCAGAAACATTGTATGTATTTCCCTTGGAGTTTTTAGAAAGGTTTTTTTTAACCACAATATTATCCCCGAGAGCCAGTCCCCTCCGGAGCACTGCCCTTTCCCCTAACCTAACCCTAATCTGATCTGAATTCAGCTGCAAGGATCTGAATGGGCATCAGTCAAAGAGCACCACATCACACGCGATTCATAAACATTTCACAATGTGTTAAAACATGTTTTGCTTCCTAATATTAAATCTTCCTAATAAAAAAGGTATAACAACATGTCTAATGGATTATCTCAGATTAAAATACATCACTCACTGTACTGCTCACCCAGTTGACAGGATGGAAGGAGATGTGGGTTTGGTACAAATCAAATGTTTAATAATAACACAAGCAATACACTGGAGAAAATGCTGCTCCAAAAACAAGTTAAATGAAAACGAGGTGTTTTCACTTGAAATAAGGAAAATAATCTGCCTATAGAACAAGTGGAAATGAGCTTGGTAACATTTCTTGAAAAAATATATGATATTTAGATAAATCAGAGAACTAATTTAAAACTATATTTGACCAGAATCAGGAAATGTTGTTACAAAATAAGCTGCAAATACTCAAAAGTTTTCTGTTTTCTGAAGTTAGTTGGTGATTTTCTAATAAATATGTAAAATAATATGTGTTTCATCTGAGATACAACTCAAACTAAGATTGTTTGACTTAACAAGATGATGCATTGTCTAAAAACAAGACCTGATATCTCACTGCAGTGTTACTTCTGAAGTTATTATGTCTTATATCAGGTGTAGAGACATATTCTGACTAGATATTAGATAAATATATTTGACAAGATTTCGAGTTTTTGTAGTGTAACAGATACAATCCAACAGAAACAAACTACACAATACTTCTGTTCATGGAGGGCTTCTCCGGGGCTTCCTACTTCTCCCCTCCAGAACGCAGCCTACTGCAAGAGACCAGAACCAGGTGACCAGCATGCTTTCATTTAGTGACTGATTACCTGATGCTGATTGGCTGTCTGGTCTCCGGTGAGTCACTCCCATCTCTCCAGCAGCCGGCGCTCTAACCACACCTGAATGCCACACTCAGATAGATGCTGCTGTGTAGTTGTAGAGTAGATGTGTTGAGATTACTCCAGAAACACACAACCCTTTCATCATCTTCTTCTTCTTCTTCTTCTTCTTCTTCTTCTTCTTCTTCTTCTTCTTCTTCTTCTTCTTCTTCTTCTTCTTCTTCTTCTTCTTCTTCTTCTTCTTCTTCTTCTTCTTTCTTCTTCTTCTTCTTCTTCTTCTTCTTCTTCTTCTTCTTCTTCTTCTTCTTCTTCTTCTTCTTCTTCAGGTTTTACAGTTGTTGACATCCAGTTTAATGGTGCCTCTCCGCCACCTTTCTGTTCTGGATCAGATAATACTTAAAGTCCTCATTCTAAACCCCTCACAATAAAATGAGAAAATACATTTATGAAACAACAAAAGAAACCCAAGAAAGCCTACTCAAATCAAATGAAAAATAAATTGTATTTATGTATTTATTTGAACAAAGACCTTACATACAAATACAATAATCTCAGAAAAGAGACGAGATGATTTATGGCAGATTATAGCTAATATCTCATTTCCATCTGAAGTCCTGAGGCAGGTATAACAATCAACAAACACTCAAAACATTGCATAATCTCTATCAAACAAACAATTATAAAAAAAAGGATTAAAGTACAGGTCAATAAAATAGTACATAGTACAGTTAAAATATAATATTACAATACAATTAAAATGGACAAAAAGGTTGCTTAATGTAATTTGTTTTGCACCATGAGAGAAAGAGTGAAGTCATAAACTCAGCTGGAAGACAATTCCAACGTTCGATGCTTAAATGAAAATGAAAATGGAAATGCCTCGGTTATATTGAGGGAAGGTTATATCTGCGTTTAGTGCAGATCTCGAGTTTCTGCAACTCTGCTCAAGGCAGAGCTGTAAGAAGCTCCTCAATGGTGGTGTTATAGCATTGTTAATGATCCTGAATACCAAACGAACTCTTGAAAGCTAAATTAATTTATCAAAACGTAAAATGACAATGCCCTAACTCTCTTTAAAGTGACATCCTGTATTCCTAACTCCTTCAAATAATTCCTCACCATCTCCCTCTGTGTTTCACACTTTTCTGCATCTCAGTACTACGTGTTCAACTGATTCCTCCTCCTGACATTCCTCACACAAACCGGTCTGGTGTTTCCTATTAATTTCACACAACGCTTTGCTCAACCTCTGCAGTTTAACCCGGAAACATCTCCAGAGTCAGTCACAACAATCCTTCTTTCACAACCTTCAGCTGTACATGGAAGCTGCTAGAAAGGCTGCAGCCCGACAGTTTGTTTGTGGTGGAAACAGTGAACATCTGTCTGTCTATGGCCACTCTGCATCTGACACCCCCCCATGGACAAAAACTGTTACTGCAGGTTCAAAGATATTGATTAGTTGAATTGTGCAGAAATGTGTTTATGTGACGCTGTATTCATAAACAAACAAACAATCAGTGAAATATTGATTTTGACTCTTTCTTTTATTTTAAATGACAACATTATACAAGAAGTTGATTTTGTGGGAAACAAGAATTACATGCATTACTTCAGATTGAGCCAACAGAGAATGAGATCAGCATGCTCACAAGAATAACAGACTATATTATTATATCATATATTTGGACATTTGTTGTTTTACAAATACAAACTCTGTATAATATTGTGCAAATGATGTTGTATTGAGAAAAGGTTATCATTTTGCGATGGGTTCCTAAATTAATTAAAAAAAATATACATTTGTTATTTTGTACCGTAACAAAAGTTTGCAAGCAAGAATGTTCTAACTAACATTTATAACTCAGACACTACCTTCTAAAATGATCTTAAAGAGCTTTTCTAATAAGAGTTGAATATTTAATATAAACCAACCAATTGTAAATGTATCATCAGCCAATTTAGAGTCAATCAGAATGTTTTAATACATGTGAAGGTCTGTTCAATGACACGACCTCTCACCCAATTAAAACTTTATCATGGAAAGCGAAGACCGGTAAGCCCTTCGATCCAGACCTTGTATTCGTCTGCACAGAGGTCCATAGCTGTTGATGGTCTGGTACAAGTCTTATTATAACCGCGAATATGCACTCCGTAAATCATCTTGTTGAACATCACCCTCCACCAGAAGGGAAAACGGAGAGAGAGAGAGAGAGAGACTTTGGATCCCGAGAGAGCAGGAGATGATGGAGGAGGAGAAGACGAGATGGGCAGAGAGAGAGTGAGGAGGAGAGAGAGAAGAGAGAGAGAAGAGAGAGAGAGAGAGGGGACGAGAGAGGAGGAAGAAGAGAGAGAGAGAGAGAGAAATATATGTACAATTGTAAACACAGACTTTTGCATCATTACTGGAATACTTATTTATTACAAGCTGGTTAATCAGGTCAACTCACGCGTCTTGTACCCACTGCAGTTTTTTGATAACAGAACACTTTTTCAGATGTATGGAAATTGATCACTTTATTGAGATTGCATGTGATCACACAGTCGTCCACCATGGTGTGTGTGCACATTGGAGAGTGGCTGGTCATATGTAATCCATTTACTGTTAGATGGACAATATCAAAAGGTTTGTTATATACTACATTATCTACTGATCTTGTATGTACAGTGAAACACATTTTAAATTCATGTTTTTCCTGTGTATCTAAATATTTTTCAACAATGTTACCAACTTCCCTGGACACCTAACTGCTGGAAGAAACTACCAATCTTCTTAATTGGCTGCATCTCAACAATTAAAATGAAAATCCTACCAGAAAGAAACTACCTATTTTCCATGACCCTGTGAACCTGGGCTGGTTCTCCTCTCAGAACTCAATAGTTAATACATTTTAAGGAAAAAAGCCAAGAATCAAACTACACTTGTTACGACATAACATGTTTTGTATTTATTTATTTTCTTATGTTGCTTGTAAAAACTCGATGTTTTATAAATATGTTAATATATGATAATACAACGTTTTTACAAACGTTAACAAACTTATAACTTAAAAAATAACTCTGTGTGCAGTATTTATTGTAAAAAAAAAAAAAAGATTCATCTCACCATCTGTGGCTCCAAGTCCTGCAATCTGAACTTCTTCACCTCTGAAATACAAGAAACAGACTAACAATTCATAAAAAGATGTCAGGGGTTTATCTCAGTTTGAGTTCCTTTGGAGTTTCACTTTCGGACTTATTTAAGATCACAACTCACTTGACAGGACGTTTCTCACAGTCAGGAAGATTTACAATTTCAAATCCCTCCACAGGCTCAGGTAACTTCAGCAGCGCGATGTCATGGATGCCATTCTTGTCATATATTTCAATATGTTTGATATTGATAACAAGAGGTTTTTGTTTTGCGTTGCCACCTGGATGCACACCTAGAATTGCTAACACCGTACTGCAAATAATTAAAGTTTGAAGAGTGACATCAGTAAATTACTGCAAATGCATCAAATTGTAATTGTTGAGGTTATTTAACATGGACACAAGACAAGTACATTTTTGTCTCAAATCAGATTTTTTGTTTTTAGATTGAATGTATGTAAATAATTAAAGTAAATATTTCTCACCTCCCTTTCGTCACACAGTGAGCTGCAGTCAGAATCCACTGTTTACTGATCAGAGATCCACCACAAACCAGTGTGATTGTCACATCCTTTATCAGCTCCACATGGTACAGACGTTCAGTAGCATCACATGTTTGACCTCCGTATATTCTCTTCTGCAGATCCACCACTCTGCCCACTGTCACACCTGAAAGAGAAAACCCACCACCAGGAGACAGTGGTTGTTGTAGAGAGGGTTGGGAGGGTCAGTTACGTGATGAGGAAATGTAATGAGTAACTGGATCTGAGTATCAAAATATTAAAGTAATGTAACCTGATTACTTTCTGTTACTTTTGGATTACCTCAATATCAAATGCAGTGCAAATGAATAGAAGATAAAATAAATATCAATGAGATGTTTTTTTATTTAAGTGTATTACAGTATGTAAGACAACAGAAGAATGTGTCCTTAGAAAAGAAGACACCAAGATATTTAGGATTAGAAATGATTGATTCTATAGGAAAACCTGCCTTTCATTCAGCATACTCAGTAGCCTATACACCAACACTGAAACACACAGTTAAGCTCACACACACTATTTTATGAACATATAGGTTCACCTGCTGAATTAAAAACAGAACAAAGGAAGCAAAGAAAGTGAAAACCATGAAGCAGATTCAGGCATGTTTATATATATATAGATTCACACATAAAGTATTAGAGAACAGAACAGTTTACAGAGAACAGAGAACAGCTGATCTTTCACAACAAACACTAGATGCTCTAACTACAGTTAATGTATTAAGAGCATCTTCAGTATTGTAAACACATCAGGTGTCCTCCTACTGACATGCAGCAGATATACAGAACTTCAGTTTACATTAAAGGCTAAGCCTACAGGATAGAGAGTAGTTTACTAATGCTGATTTAGTGAGTACATGACTTCAAAGCAAACACAGTACACAGTATTTGTGTTTAATCAGGTGTTCACAGCGTTTAAAGAAAGATATTGTAAAACAGAAGAATGAACGTTTTCTAAACTAAAACCAAAAAGCACTCGTTTCGAGGTGATGTGAGAGTGAGTGAAGCAATGTGTGAGTATGAGTTTAGTAACTTGTGTTCTTTATTGTAAATGTATTGTAACATTATAAACCTGTTGTGTTCATGTTCCAGTAGGGGAATAGAGTCACCCCTTTCTTTGTTCACTGTTTCCATAATCCTGTTCAATGTAATCCATCACTCCCTAAGCTTGATCGGAGAGGACGACCTTCTCCCTCTTCAGAACGTTTACATACACGGTGAACATGTGGCAACACAAGTGGTCAGTATTCAAACAGTTCAAACAGTTAATCATCTCAGGATCAACTCAGACTACGGACAACACGATCACAACTGGTGGCTTTGCAATACGTAACACCTCTGTCTTTGAAGTAGGCTTCATTTGTGAAGGTCGGATAAACCAAGATGTGTACTTTAACTATATTTTGATGATAATACTTTTCTACTTTTACTCAAGTAAAATATCTGAGTATTTCTACTTTTACTAAAGTACTAGATCTGAGTACTTCTCCACCTCTGGTTAATGTCCAATGGCTGTTGATATAGAGCATATTCATAGAGTGTATTCCTAAAGCCTACAGTTGGTGTTAGATAATGAGTAATAGAAGACGCCCCCACCCAATAAGAAAAATATAATCTTACTGATACTTTCTTATAATAAAATAATACTTTTATACTTGAAGACACGATGATGTCAGTTTTTTTATCCATGTTTCAGCCATAGAGCAGGAACATTTGATAAGTGATCAAAAATGTGCAAATGGGCCCATCTGTGTAGCCAATGGGGTTGTGTTTACAGAACTGTAAAGAACTAGGGCACCCTGAATACATCATGACCAGAGAAGCAGACTGCTGTAAGATAGTCATCTCATTCATTAGTAACATAAAGCAACTATCATCAATATTAAATCGAGCTGCCCCCACATGGACACAAACTGTTACTGCAGGTTCAAAGATATTGATTAGTTGAATTGTACAGAAATGTGTTCATGTGACGCTGTATTCATAAAGAAACAAACAATCAGTGAAATATTGATTTTGACTCTTTCTTTTATTTTAAATGACAACATTAAACAAGAAGTTGATTTTGTGGGAAACAAGAATTACATGCATTACTTCAGATTGAGCTACCAGAGAATGAGATCAGCATGCTCACAAGAATAACAGACTATATTATTATATTATATATTTGGCCAGTTGTTGTTTTAAAAATGCAAACTGTATAATATTGTGCAAATTATGTTGTATTGAGAAAACATTTATAACTCAGATGCTACTTCTAAAATGATCTTAAAGAGCTTTTCTAATAAGAGTTGAATATTTAATGTAAACCAACCAATTGTAAATGTATCATCAGCCAATTTAGAGTCAATCAGAATGTTTGAATACATCTGAAGGTCTGTTCAATTACACGACCTCTCACCCTTTAAGACAAGCTAAACAATCCAATAGACAGTCTAGACATGTTTTTGGTTTGATAACCCCAGCGATCCAGGGTAGGTATTTACAGACATCCATAGCTTGTGCTTCAACACAAGCCTTGTCAACACTGCTAACATGCACTCCGTAAATCACGTTATCGACCATCACTCCTCCACCAGAGTCCCCCTGAGAGAGAGAGAGAGAGAGAGAGAGAGAGAGAGAGAGAGGAGAGAGAGAGAGATGAGAGAGAGACAGGAGAGAGAGAGAGAGAGAGAGAAGAGAGAGAGAGAGAGAGAGAGAGAGAGCGAGAGAATAGAGAGAGAGAGAGAGAGGAGAGAGATGAGAGAGAGGAGTAGAGAAGAAGTGCGGAGAGGACGAGGAGGAGCGAGAGAGGAGAGATTGGACGAGAGAGAGAGAGAGGTACAAATTGTTAAACACAGACTTTTGCATCATTTACTGGAATACTTACAAACTAGTAAATAAGGCCAACTCACTTCAAATGCATCCGCTTCTCCTTTGTAACAGAAGGTATGTTCATAAATAAATCCAGGTGGACATTCTCGGTCCGCACACTGGACCACGTTGATCTTTGCACATAGGAGATTTACTGACTCCGTCATTACTAGATGAGAATATCAAAAGGTGCGTTTTACTACATGTTCCACTGACCATGTACATTCAAAGAAATGTTACTTTATTGGATACATAATAATAATAATAATAATAATAATAATAATAATAATAATAATAATAATAATAACAATATATTTTATTTGTAAACCACCTGTCATTGCTAAAAGTAATCACAAAGTGCTACAAGGGGCATAAAATACACACTTAAAAACACAAGTTTAATAAAAGGCTTTTTTTTAAAGAAAGGATGTTAGGCCCTTCTTAAAGGAGCCAGTGGCCTGTAACAGCTGGAACAAACTACTCTCCCTAATCGGCTGCATCTCAACAATTACAATGAAAATCCCAACAGAAAGAAACCTATGTTCCATGACCTGTGAACCTGGGCTGGTTCTCCTCTCAGAACTCAATATTCAATACACAAGGAAAAAAGTCAAGAATCAAACTACACTTGTTACAACATAACATTTTGGTATTTTTTTTTTCTTATGTTGGTTGTAAATACTCAATGTTTTATAAATATTTTAAAATATGATAATGCTTAAGTTTAAAAAATGTTTAACAAACGTATAACTTAAAAAGTAATTCAGTTCTCACCTTTGGTTTTGTCGCTCTTTATCGTTGTGAGTGTATGACCTGCAATCTCAACTGTTTGACCTCTGAAATACAAGAAAAAGACGTAACATTCATAAAAAGATGTCAGAGGTTTATCTCAGTTTGAGTTCCTTAGGAGGTTCACTTTCTGACTTATTTAAGATCACAACTCACTCGACAGGAGGTGTGCCACATTGAGGAAGTGTTACAGCTTCAAAACCCTTCTCAAGGTTGTTAACCTTCAGCAGCGCGATGTCATGTTTCCCAGTGCCTGCATCATATATTACAACATCTTCGATTTCAAATGTTTTTGTGTTGCCTCCTGGATGCACACGTAGAACTGCTCTCACCTTGCTGCAAATAATTAAAGTTTGAAGGGGGACATCAGTTAATTACTCCAAATGCATGAAATTGTAATTGTTGAGGGTATTTAACATGGACATAAGAGAAGTTATTTCATGTTATTTACATTTTAGTCTCAAATCATATATATATTTTAGATTGAATGTATGTAAGTAATTAAAGTAAATCTTTCTCACCTCTTGTCTGGCACACAGTGAGCTGCAGTCAGAATCCACTGGTCAGTAATCAGAGATCCACCACACTCGAGTGTGCCTGTCCGATCACTTTTTATCAGCTTCACATGGTACTGACGTTCAGTAGCAGCACATTCTGTACCTCCGTATATTCTCTTCTGCAGATCCACCACTCTGCCCACTGTCACACCTGAAAGAGAAAACCCACCACCAGGAGACAGTGGTTGTTGTAGAGAGGGTTGGGAGGGTCAGTTACGTGACAAAGAAATGTAATGAGTAACTTTATCTGAGTCTCAAAGTATAAAAGTAATATAACCTGATTACTTTTGGATTACCTCAATATAAAAGGTAGTGCAACATAATAGAAGAGAAAATAAATATCAATGAGATGTTTTTTTATTTAAGTGTATTATGTAAGACAACAGAACAAAGTGATCTTAGAAAAGAAGAAACCAAGATATTTAGGATTAGAAATGATTGATTCTATAGGAAAACCTGCCTTTCATTCAGCATACTCAGTAGCCTATACACCAACACTGAAACACACAGTTAAGCTCACACACACTATGTTATGAACATATAGGTTCACCTGCTGAATTAAAAACAGAACAAATGAAGCAAAGAAAGTGAAAACCATGAAGCAGATTCAGGAGGTAGAAGTATATATTCACACTGAAAGTATTAGCTACAGAACAGTTTACAGAGAACAGAGAACATCTGATCCTTTATAACAAACACTAAATGAAATCTGATCTGGAATTCAGCTTCCAGGATCCTGATGGGTTTCAGAAGAAAAGACAACAACACACTGGCTTTCTAAACTGTTTGAAATTCAACTCAACTCTAAATACTTAACTCACCTAAGTGCTATCTCAGAGCATAAGAATGGTGAAAGTAGGCAGCAGAAGTCTGAGTAGGAGCTGATACTCACCGGCCAACAGCAAAAGGAGAAGACTTGTCATCATGCCCGCCATCTCTGCCAGCGTCTGCCCTCCTGGTGCCACAGTGGAGCTTTCTAAACCTCTTCACACTGTCCTGTTGGCCTTCCAGCCACCAATCACCTCAGGAAGGTTTATCCACACAACCCCATTGGCTGCACAGATGGGCCCATTTGCACATTAATGATCACTTATCAAATGATCCTGCCCTATGGCTGGAAAATGGATCAAAAATACAAGAACTGACATCATTGTGTCTTCAAGTTGATACGTATTATTTAAGTATAAAAATAAAATATTAGTAAGAGTTGGCCTTAAGTTGACGTTTTGACTGGAAGGAACTCCATTTGAAGCAATGAGGTGAACATGTTACTGTATATCTGTACAGTAGGTGACTGCATTCACTCTGCATGTGGCACCTTTAAACCTCTTAGAGATCAGTTCCTTCCTTCAAACAAAGTGAATAATAACCATTTACTCTGGGCTTTTGGGTTGCTAAGGTACACGTATAGTGAAGTAAAGTGAAGGCTGAGTATCACTGGTTTATTGTGTTTTTTAAAAGCAAAGCACTATTTCTGCTATTGCTTTATTTTAAGTAGATATATATATATATATATATATATATATAAGTGGGTGTACAGGTGTGTATATATGTATAGTCCTCGGGATTGTGGGAAACGGTATTACGATCTCTCTGTCTGTACACAAAAACTGTAAGATTGACAATAAAGTTGACTTGTTGGAGATGTTGTGGGATGTTGAGAGTGGTGATGTGTCCTCTGTGAAGGACCTGATATTGGATACGTTGGATTTTTGAGTAACGTCACATGGGAAATGTGTTATTAGATATGGGGTGTGCCAGTTAATGTCTGTCAGATTAATGTATAGATTTCTGATTTCCATGGAAACAGTTTTGTCGACTTGTGACTTTTTTTTGGGTTGAAGGGAACATAGTTTAATTAGTAAAGGAGGATACAGTTTGTGGACATTATGGATATCTATTGTCTTTTTCTCTGTTGCCTGTTGGTGGAAACATTGTTGACAAATATTTACATACATAAGAAAAACATGAATCTGCCAGTACAATTTGTTTTAATGTACAAGTTCATTCAATTATGTATTAAAAACAACACCTTTTATATTGTCATCTAGGAGGCTTACCTAAGTCAGACACTCTCCGATGTGCAAACACCACGGTTGTTAAGTGTGTATTCAAAAGCTGTCCGTCTGCCCAGCCGGTTGGTTTACATTAAAAGATTAATTATAATTAGTAACGAAAAACCACTAGGCTAACACTGAGCCTCTGAATTAGCCGTGGGCGGAAAAATCTTAACGCCGTTAGCACAGAACTCTAGCTATACCAATCGATATACTTATTGGATCTGCACAAACAAGTTTAGCTAACATCCTGAGATTCCACAGATTATAGAAATATAAATATCATCACTGAGCGATCAGAACTCGTGACAGGGGAAGCAAATACAGACATCACACGACGTAGCTTTAGGTAGCAAAACACGGAGATATGCTCACCTTTAGCTGTTATTCTGATCAAAAGTCGTGTTCAATGGCATTAAAACGAGAAAAAACGCTGCTGAAGGTTAATCCATAGGTTACTCCAATGTGTCTGTCACTTTGAACAAATTATTGATAATCCATAATTCAATTTTTATGCAAAATTCGGAGAATAAAAATTAGCTGCTAATGAATAGCCACCAGAGTGTGTCGCAGCTCCGGTTTTAGCTACGCGTCACTCTCACTCCTTATTTGGTAACCTGTGTGTGTATGTGGAACTTTCCCTCGATTCCATTGGCTCTAGCGGTTAAAATGAGATTGAGATGTCAATCATCCAAATCGACCAAGGGGGGCCAGAGATAGGTCAAATCCACCCAAATCACCCCAGAAGTGTTTTTCTTTTGCTAAACCTCTCTAAAAAGGTCACATTTCACTTGTTTTGCATCAATCTTGATACAGGGTACTTATTATATGTTGTACTTTGAATTCCTAAAGCTTTTAGTCTACTAACCCATCATCCAAGGGTGGTTTTCACTATAAGTAAAATAGTGAAAACTAATTGTTGGACGGACACTATAATTGACTGTTTTTTACTATGTTCAATCTGAATTTTCTTTAAAATAAAAAACATCTATATTGATTCTGACTTTTCTACATCCAACTCACAGGTTTATCATTACTTTGAGAAACAAGATTATTAATTTAACCCTTTTAGAAGGGAAGATATGGTCATTTGTTCTGGGAATGGCATTTTCGAGCCTGAGACCTGAAAAACAGGCTCAGTGCTTAAGAGGTTAAACTATTGTTATGAATGTTTTTTATTTTAAATATGGAACTCAATTGTAAAATGAAAGCTGCGAGCAGCGATGAGCGGTTCTTCAACGATCCACACTGGTCCGCTGTTGTCTGCACGTCGACGCGTCACGCAGATATTTCCAGGACTCAGCCGTTAGCAACGTGGGTAGTTTCTGGCCGATCAGACAATGGGAGTTACAGCAGTAACATAAACATTGTGTTTGATAACGAGTGATCTGTAGCCATGGCACCGGCTTATGATGACACCCCATAATCGGATTAGATGTCTAGAGGGCTGCCTCATTACCAAACGTGTGAAGTTTTGGGCCTTTTGGAGCATTTCCACTGAAGTTTTGAGAAAAACTGGTTTAATGGCGAGCATTGTGTTTCCATGGCAACAGCATATTATGACAACCCATCATAGGCTTGGATGTCTGAGGGCTGCATCATTATATAACATGAGACGTTTTGGGCCGTTTGGAGCATGTTCAATGGAGTTATGAGAGAACCGTGTTTCATGGCGAGAATTCAGTGTGTGTGTGTGTCCCATGTTGTGATGTGTGTTTCTGTGCTTTTGCCCGTCGTTTCCCCTACAGTATGTTTGTGTGTGTTTTACTGTGATAACAATAGGGTCTTCGCCGACCTCTGGTCTCAGACCCTAAATATAACCCTTTTTTAAATTCAACAGAAAGTGCAGTGTCTGAGTTATGAATGATATATTATACTTTCTTGCTTTCAAACTGTAACGATTAAATATAAATGTTTATTTCCACTTGAAAAAGACAGATGATCAAATATATAAGTCTGTTTTTCTTCTAAATAATGCACTGTAATTTGTATGTATCCCACCAAATCAAATTCTTGTATAAAGTTGTCTTTTAAAAAAAAAAGATTCATAATCATTATTTCACTGATTCTTTGTGTTTTTATGATTTAAAAAAATACATGAACAGAATATAGAAAAATGTATTTCCACTCATCAATATCTTTAAACCTGCAATTACTCTTTTTGTCCATGTGGGGGCAGCTATAATACGGCAGGCTGCTTTTATTGTAAAAGATTAATATGAGTGTTTTACTTCCTTTCACTCACATCACAAAGTCCAAAAGAAACCAGCATATCTTGTGGCCTTTAGTTTGTGCATAAAAAAAAGAGTCACCGTGATTGTGCTGCTACTTCTTTGAAGGGAAGGAGTGATTTATCTGTTATTATTATCTGTTGTTATATAATGGTGAACAGGAGAAGTGAGTCGACTAAACTCTGAAAATCATAAAAGGTTGAAGATAAAAACCATATGCTCAGATTTTTGCTTTTGCATATATTTTATTTCTTAACCATACTGTTTAACATTAAATTAATAGAACAATAAATACATATCCCATACGAAATATATATTAAAAGGATAATGCAGAAACGTATCATGCCACCTAGCTGAGTTTTGAACTGGGGTCTCTAGAAAGGAGCTTTTAAGAAAACCACAAAACAGCCATTAAGTCATTGAAAGATGGACTCTAACCGTAACCCTAACTTTTTGACTTTCATGGAGACACTCAACTCACATCACCCGAAAAATAAAACTCAAACATCAATTACAACCACTCTCTGTCGAATTTGTGGACACCTGTGTCTTCTTCCGCAACTCCACCGACCCTATCAAAACCCTTGCAACCAAGGTATTTTTCAAAAACACAGACCGCCACGCACTCCTCCATAAATCAAGCTACCATCCGAGGCATACGTACAGAGGCTTGATAAAGTCCCAGCTGATACGCTTCCACAGGATTGGTGCCTTCCCGGAGCATGTAGAGGAGGCAACCAGCACCCTCTTCAGTGCACTGAGACCAAGGGGTTACTCAAGGCGCTTCCTTAGAAGCATCAAAGTGGAGGTCGGCCGAACTTTTAAAGACAAATACAACACCATCTCAACCCAGCCTTCCGGACCGACCCTCGTCCCCCTGATCACCACCTATTCTAAGGACCTGGGGAGCCTTTTAGGCAATCTCAGGTCCAACTTTGAGGGGGTGAGGGCGCTTATCGCAGAAATAAAAACTTGAAGGACCTCCTAGTCCACACCAATTTCAACCAAAAAACACCAAACAGGGAGGCGCCTCTGGGGCCTCATTTATAAAGGGATATACGCTCAAAAAATGGCGTACGCCAGTTTCTACGCAATGTTTGCGATTTATAAAATACTAACTTGACGGGAAAATGTGCTGTCCTCCACGCAAACTCTAACCCATGCGTACGCACTAAGCACACAAACGGGAGAGACGAGAAACTGCGACAACGTTGGCAGAAGGAAGAATGGAGAGAAATATGTGGAAATAAGACCATAAATAAAATGTTACCTCTCATTTATCAAATATGAAGAATTCGTTTTCAAACATTGATTAAAGCCAATCTTTAAATGATTAAACAAATGCCTGTTTGAGACTCCTCAGTGCACACAAAAACATAACTTGGAGAAATAAATAAATACGGATATGTTATTTAAAACCACCTCGAATATGTTGTGTTAATGTTATGAAATGTTTTCTCATAAATGATGCGGTAAGCAGGAGGACAGAATTACGTCTAAACTGACGCCGTTTTGCATTTCTATAGGTTGTAGATACGAGCATGGTTTTATATACTATCACGTTTAATCGTGTTTTATGCCGTTTGCCAAGACTTGATAAGTCGCTCGTAAAACACAGGAGGTATGGAAACTAAGAACACCATATGT